TTTTATACACAAGTTTATCTGGTTGAGCACAAGATGAACACTTCAGTTTAGAGCCCATGTTTTATAATAGCAACCTTTAAACTCTGGAATCACACTCAGCAAGGCAGGCTGATTGATCACTTATTAGCAGCTCTGAGAATTGACACTTCCTAAAAGACTATCTTACACTTAACTTGGGGGGCACTTACTCATTATCCCCATTTCGTTTGTTTGTGTGTGTGTCTCCTAAACCAGTATAGTGGAACGTGCTTAGAACTTGTTAGTATTTGTGTAAGAACTCACGTGAATCGAGCTTAAGTCTCTAGCATGAACAAGTGCATTGATAACAGTGCCTATTACTGAGCCGGGGAAAAGATGGTTGGGAGAAAAATTCTGAGTTCAGTTTTCAACAAGCTGAGCTGGAGGAACTGTGAGACAGCCAAGGCAAAATGAGTAACACACAAGTGGATCTGTGGACCTGGTCCTCAGAAGAACTAGACCAAGGAGGTAAATTTGCAAGTCTGGGCACAAAGCATGGTAACTTAAGCCATGATAAGCTAAATGCCTAAGAAGAAAGCATAGACAGAAAAAGGTCTTAAAACATTGGTTTTCAAATATGAGCAAGCATCACAATCACACGGAAGGTTTGTTAAAGTACCAATGGCTGGGAGCCATCCCCAGAGCTTCCGATTCAGTAGGTCTGGGTAGGGATTGAGGATTTTCATGTCTAACAAGTTCCCAGGTGAGGGGCGCCTGGGTGGCTGAGTTGTTAAGCGTCTATCTTCGGATCAGGTCATGATCCCAGTGTCCTGGGATTGAGCCCCACATTGGGCTCCCTGCTCAGCGGGAAGCCTGCTTCTCTCCCTCTCCCACTCCCCCTGCTTGTGTTCCCTCTCTCGCTGTGTCTCTCTCTGTCAAATAAATAAAATCTTTTTAAAAAATAAATAAAATTTAAAAAATTTAAAAAAAGTTCCCAGGTGATCTTGATGTTTCTGGTCTGGGGAGCCACACGTGGAGAACAAATGGCCGACAGCAAAGCCCTACAAAACTCTGATAGTTAAAGCAGAGACTAAGGAATTTACAAAGGCGAACAAGACGAGCCTAGAGCAAGGTAGTAGAAATACTACTACAATTAAATTATTACCAAGGTCACCAGTAACCTCCTTACTGAAGATCCAGTGGAAACCTATGATTTCTAAAACTAAATTCTACTTGCAACAAGTATTTATTGAGCACCCACCATATACCAGGCACCTCTGTTCTCTGTAACCTGACCCTATCTTCTCTCTTGGCCTCTGAAATACCATTCATTCCTTTACTGTTCCTGCTTCTTTTTTGAACACCTACGTGTCTGTTCTCTTGTTCCTCTCCTTCCACCCACTCAATCAAGATTCTCAGGATTCTGGGTCTTCTCTTCATCATGCAAGCTCTCCCAGGGCAATTTTACCTAACCCTGTAACACCATCTTGTTGCCAGTAATTCTCCCATACCTCATCTCTAGAAGTGACTGCCTCTGGGCTTCAGATCCTATTTCCAACTCCCAGCCCAATCAGACTTTTACACACTAAGCCCCTTTCTTTCCATATTTTCTCTCCAAGAAGCATAACCATACACCCAGAGATCCAAGTCAGCTATCTATGAATCTTCCTAAAGTAGCTGTTCTCAGCTTTAGCTGCAGATTAGAACCTCCCGTGGAGTTTTTTTTTTTTTTAACACCTCACTTGTAGGTCTAATAATATGACAAAAATAATTTTGTGTCCTTAACACATATGCATGTAAAATGCCTAGCAAAAAATGCTTTGAGCACTTAAAAACAGGGAACTATCTTTATAAACACTTCAATTTTCAGCTCATCTGAGGTCTTTTCTGAACAAAATCAACACTTCTTTAAGCTATTTCATTAACAACAAAAATTTAGAAAAAAACTTGTTTATAAGTCTTTCTAACGTAAACCTCCAAAACTTAGGTTCAAAGTCATATTCCCACTTTTGCCAAATATCCTTTGGTATAGATTACAGTTGATTCCTAAAGGGAACAGTATAAGTTGTTAAATAGGTACACCACTGGAATCGTGGATCTGTAGTCGCAATTTGGCCCATGGATAAGACAACACAAACCAGTGAGTAAGGTCTATTGTTCATAGAGCCGTTCACAGAGACACTAGTGAGCCAGCCACAAATGGAAAAAAAGAAACACCAATATATTCAAACAAGCTAATAAGAGAAGCCCATTATATGATACAATGTTACTTACAAGTGTTTGCAAATGAGAGACATTCAATTCTGCAGTGTTATCAAAGCAACCTTGCACCTTTGCTCTTTAGTGCTATTTTGTATTTTGAGTATTTTCCAAAAGAGAATGACGAAGATTTAAAACAGCCGCTATCTTCCAAAGTATAATGTTTTGTTTGTATCCCTTGCCCAATGATCTTAGCAAATCTGTCTACTTTTTCTTGAAAAGATGTGCAGCAATGGGCAAATAATGAGTCAGTAAGTTCATTTAAGGCTGTACAATTCTGCCATTTTCACCTAAGATGGTCAATTTCTTATAACCTGCGCATAACAGGACAGCTCGAAAATAGCCTGGAATATGTCAGAAAACCAAGGTATAAAAGCTACCAAAAATTGCAACTGGAATAAAGGACAAAGGTTCTTTTTATTTGGTTGTTTGTTTGCTTTAGCTGAACAAATTAGTTTGTCTTATATCTTATAAATGAATTAAGTTATATATTTTGTGTGTATGCAAATACCACCAGAGTATATAAACACATTAAAAAACAAAACAAAACAAAACCACCATCCTTCTCCAAAAACTGACTGCCTGATAAGTGGAGGGGGGCTTAAAGCTGTTTGCTGAAATGGAACCAATGGGGAGATAAGCTTTATTTACATTTATGATACAGTTACAAAGGTATTTGGATTGTGGAAAGCAGAGGAAGTTTGAAAACCACCCCCCCATTGTTTTTAAAAAAATAACTCTGTTATGTATGAAGTAATCATATTTCCAAATAGGAGGGAAACACAGATACTGATTGGAGCTACGAAAACGTAATAATGTGGGTGAGGAATAAAGAAAGAAGAAATTTAAAATCTTTTTTCCAGTTTTATTTTTCTAGATTTGGGAAAATCTTTAACTTTTACATTTTATAAAGGAACAAAATGTGTATATATAATCTAAAGGCTACCTATTTCCAATATGACATTTGAGTCCTTTTAATAATCCAGCCCCTAAGAGGTCACACAGCCTGAACCTCTCCTGTGGCAGAGAAGGCACTCCACCAATAAAGACTGTTCAACTTCATACACCCTTTGCCAAAGAACAAATAGCATGCTTTTCAAATTTCAAAACCTAAATGCAAAAGGAAGAAGTTTATTTAATACCATCATAGTATTAGGCTCTGGTACATTCAGGGTCACAAGTTCATGAGGGTATATGAAGTACATCTCAAGTGTTTTTTAGCAGATCACCAAGCCAGGTGACATAACCAAGAACCTTTCTCAAGAATCCACCTGGATTCCCAGTAGGGAAAGGAACTGTGACAGCTGCAATAGCAACCAAGCAAAAACTTGCTAGTTCAATTCACTTATGAATAAATTTACTATTATACATGGAGCTCCAAATAAAGTGTGAAAATTTAAGGAACTGAGAATTACTCTGCTTTTGTTGTTCTCCTCTGTTACCTACAAAGAGTGGTATTCTATTGTATCAGAACCACCTAGGCCACTGAGGGTGCCTTCTACTCCAGGCAATGAATGCACAATGCCCTTGACCATTTCCTATACACCACTTTGCACCAGCGTGCTCAAAAGACCCCTCACTATAGTTCAGAAAGGAAATACCTCTCACCCACTTGGACAAAGAACAAGAGTCTTCCAGCAGGTCCAGTGAAACAACTTCTTTAGATCAGCACCACAAGATCCATATGAATGAACAGTTTTCAAGGGGAACTGGAATTGTCCCTCTCTTTACTACCCTTGTGCCCAGATAGTCTCTCTTCTCTAAGTGTATATTTCTTCTCAAGCAGTAACCTGGTCCTAGTAAACACAGCTTCCTGCCCTCCACACTTAACATCCGCCTGAACCTCCTAGTTCACAATACCCTTTGCCCTCTTTCACAAATATGATTATTTTTACTGGGGGCAGGAATGGGAAGCAAGATGAGGGAGAAAGAAATTAAGGGGATTTTTTTAAAAAGTTCCTATGGCTTCAAAAGTTCCAGAAACCTTACAACCTTAGAAATAGATAATGGGATCCAAATTCTTCCCTTCCCAACAGCTCCCCACAAGCTAACACCTATGAAACTAGAGATCCCAATCCTAGTTTAGCTCCCATGGGGGAGGTCAAGGGAGGTCCCCAGTTTTCAAATCCTAATTTGTGATATTTAGTAAAAATAAGTAAATTACTGACATCACAGCCTATTTAGATACAGTAATTTACATAAAAGACACCCCCCCAAAATTGTTAAGCAAAATATCACTTCAATTCCTGTAAAGCCTGGATTCTACTGTAAGAGCAGCCATTTTTTCTTCATTCCATAACCTTGAGTGAATCACTATTTCTGAGTCTGATATTTCAGAGTTGTGGTGAGGATTAGATCCCTTAGCACAGTACCCAGTCAATACTGCAATTATGCAGAAAGGTCCTGTCTACTTTGTTCAAAGCAAACCAAAACTAGTGCTCACTCTTGTATAATCATTCTTCAACAGCTGGGTCAGTTCTTGTAATGGTGTTAAGACATAGTTGGTATTCAACATTTTACTGAAAGAATGAATAGCCTATGCTTAAAAGAGGGAGAGGGTCTGTAAAGAGTGCTAGAAATTAAAGGGCATTAAAACAGTTTTATCTATTTATCTAGGTTGTTCTATTTTATCAGAATTAACATAGGCCACTGTGGGTACCTTCTACTCCAGTCAATGAATGCACAATGTCCTTGACTATTTCTCATACTCCACTCTGCTCCAATATGCTCAACATATTTGTTTGCAGAGATTATTCCAGAACGGGAACATGAAACTATCTTTGCTTAAATTAAAGGAACATTAGGAACAAACACTGGTGGCAAGATTTATTTGCCTCAGAATCACTTCACAATCTCTGACAACTTAGCCTCCTTACTACTTCTATTATTCACCAGAGACACAGATCTAGTTCAAATCAGAAGCAAGTCCTTACATTTTGATGTATTTGCCCAAAGACTAGCTAGATTAGATTTAGAAAGAACCTTGCCAAAGAAGGAAAAACAATTTCTTAGCCTTTAATCAATTCTTCTTTAAACCCAGGAAATACCATACAACTTGTTTCCCATAGCTAATAAGTAACTTAACACTACTTTCTAATTATAAAGCCTATTCTACCCACAGTATGCAGATCAGCTGCTAGCTATGAGAAAAATTACTACTAAAGGGAGTTTCTTGAGAAGATTCCTCAATCCCTACACTTTCCCCCAAACAAGATATGACAGAATCACTTGATGTGAGCCAGGGCATTTACTATTTTTTTTTTCAACCAGGGCCTGGCAGAACAGCTCCCGCAAAGAAGGGTGGCAAGAAGATGGGCCATTCTGCCATCAACAAGGTAGTAACCAGAGAACACACCATCAACATTCAGAAACACATCCATAGAGTGGGTTTCAAGAAATGTGCCCCTGAGGCACTCAAAGACATCCGGAAATTTTCCATGAAGGAGATGAGAACTCCAGATGTGCGCACTGACACCAGACTCAACAACACTGTGAGGGCCAAAGGAATAAGGAAGGTTCCACACCATATATGTGTGCAGTTGTCCAGAAAATGTAACAAGGATGAAGATTCACCAAACCAGCTCTATACACTGGTTACCTATGTACCTGTCACCACTTTCAAAAATCTAGACAGTTAATGTGGGTGAGAACTAACCACGGACTGCCAAAGTTATAAAACTGCAAAAAAAAAAATTAATTTCTATACTATTAACTAGCCTAACATCATACAAATTTCTTACACAACCAAGCAGAGGCAAGCAGATGGTCATTATCCCAGGTCCAAATGTCTGAGTCTATCTGATACAAAGGAATAAATGCCAAAAGTCATCATCATTCGATGTTCTGTTATTCAAACAGAGAGGCTTAGCTGGAATGTTCTTACCTGTAAATGGTTTTGAGGCCTCATGAAAGAAACTATCATTTAAGGACCAGAAACCGCTCCTTCACTTTTGTTCTCATTAGACTTTCTGCATGTTTCTCTGCAACCAGCTTGTCCTTCCTTACTGCTGGAACTGTATCTACAATCTTTTGGCCAGTTGGCTTGCTTGGTCCCTAGCTCCCCATGGCCACATCTGCTGCTCTGTCTTCCTAGTGATCCAATCACTGTTTTTCTTATACTCCTAGAACTGAACTTCTGAACCATACAATCTGTCAAACAGCAACCAAAGAAGTTGGGGGGAAAGAGGGAACAGTGAACCATGGGTACATGTGACATGACATATCTGTTCTAACCAGCTATTCCATAACCTGTCCTAAGTGGCTCAGAGTGTACACCCTGGTTCACTCTGACAGACCTGTTCTTGACCCAACCTAACCCTTTAGACTAGGTATGGTTTCCCTGGCCACCAGTCTTATACCTAAAACTTTCTACTAAAGACAGAAGAGTCTCACAATTATGACCATGCTTCCAGAAAAGGAAACATTCAAAGGTCTCTTGCATACTTCGCACTGTGCTAGATGCTTTCTCTCTCAAGACCCACCAAAGGCCACTGATACACATATTGCCCTCATTTTACGTAAGAAAACAGTATAACTCCAGTATCTGCATATTTAAGAAGATAAGGCTAAAGGTAGGAGATATTGCATAACATCAGTAAACAAAATTCTTTTTAATGTTGCCCTTACAGGGCTGCTTTTCATGTTCATTATGTGAAGTGCCAAGGAATCTGGCTTACAACTTCTAATTAGCATATCAACTCACTTTACAAAAACTGTTTCACCAAAAAGAAAAGGCCACACTTTAAATGGTGACTGGCATTATATACTTATATAGTATTTAAATCAAGTTCTAAGATTTACAAAATAATAACCTTTGTATCTTCAGATTACAAGAATATTTAGTATGCTCAATGGTGATATAGCAGCTTAATAAAGAGGACATAAGAACATGTTAAACTAAGCCACATGGGTGTAATCATTAAAATCCAGACTCAGAAACTCTAAAGAACCAATAACCTGGTGTCTTTAATAAATAAATTACAAGGGAGAGGAAAAAAAGAGAGGTAGTGAGGGGGAACCTCTAAATTAAAAAGGACTTAAAAGTCCTTACCAACCAGCAGGAAGGTAGTGACCTTATGTGGATCCTGATTAAAACTATGACATCTGAGGGGCGCCTGGGTGGCTCAGTTGGTTAAGCAACTGCCTTCGGCTCAGGTCAGGATCCCGGAGTTCTGGGATTGAGTCCCACATCAGGCTCCTGGCTCAGCAGGGAGCCTGCTTCTCCCTCAGACCCTCTCCCCTCTCATGCTGTTTCTCACTCTCTCTCTCACAAATAAATAAAATCTTAAAAAAAAATAAAACTATGACATTTGAAAAAATAAATAAATTAAATGAACTATGACATCTGAGATAACTGGAAATTTGAATACTGGATAGTTGATAATACTAAGGAATTGGGGAGGTAAATACATATATACCTATATATACATTTTAAGAGTTATTATTTTTTTTAAGATTTTTATTTATTTATTAGAGAAAGACAGACCACAAGCAAGGGGAGCAGCAGGCAAAGGGAGAGGGAGAAGCAGGGTCCCCGCTGAGCAGGGAGCCCGACACTGGGAGTGATCCCAGGATCCCGGGATCATAACCTGCGCCGAAGGCAGATGCTTAACCAACTGATACATCCGGGCACCCCAAGAGTCATTATCTCTTAAAGATACACTAAATAAGGCGCCTGAGTGGCTCAGCCATTAGGCGTCTGCCTTCGGCTCAGGTCATGGTCCCAGGGTCCTGGGATCGAGCCCCACATCGGGCTCCCTGCTCGGCGGGAAGCCTGCTTCTCCCTCCCCCACTCCCCCTGCTTGTGTTCCTGCTCTCGCTGTGTCTCTCTCTGTCAAATAAATAAATAAAATCTTTAAAAAAAAATTGTTTTAAATGGGGACAAGAATAAACAACTGCAGCCAAATGTTGAAACTAGCTGGTAAATATATAGGGGCTCACTGACTCTACTTATGAGTATGTTTGCATTTTAAAAAGTACATAATAACAGGAACAATAATAGATTCCAAAGACTTCTTCCACTATGTGGGAGAAGAAAAAAAACAAGATAAATAATTCAAACTAAAACCCCCTAGTTCAAATTAGGGCCAAGTTTGGAGCGGATAGGGAGACAGGAACCACCACACAAGAGTTTTTCTCTTATTTAATTCACCCGATTTTCACAAATAGTCAGCAGTGGGGTGAGGAAAATCTCACAGTGTTCCAACATAATGGGGGCATGCTCGAAGAGAAAAAATTTTTTTTCAAGAAATATTTCCTCTGCCAGTCCTGCCCTAGACATCCATTTATAAAGGAACTTTCAACGTTTTCTGAAGCCTAAGAAGTAGGGTCGTCAGGGTGTTTTGTGTGGGGACAAAGCTTCCCTAAGACCCTGAGCACATATGATCCTGATTGTACACAGAGGTTTCTGGGCATGAAAATAGTATTTTTTCATTCCTAGTTTCCTGGCTATGCTCCAAGACTACCTTTCCTATCAAGTTATCTTTAGTAAGATCCTTGGGGGGGGGGACTTTCAAAGACTTATGAAAACATCTGCACATACACATTTCAGCACTTCAAGTAATGACACCAAGTGTTTTCTGAGATTCTAAAGAGAAAAACACATTTTAAAATTACCTAATCCTACCAAAATTTCTGCTGTGGGCAATCACCACCATACCTAAATTACATAATTATTATTGGCAGAGCAAAAAAGAAAATTAACACCTTCTTAGAATTCACTATATGCCAAGTATTTAATATGTATTTTCAACTAAACTTTCCTCATAACAACCCTAGTATTTTTTTTTTAAAAGACTTATTTCAGGGGTGGGGAGGGGCAGAGGGAGAGGGAGAGAATCCCCAAGCAGACTCCCCACGGAGCACGGAGCCCAACGCAGGGCTCAATCTCAAGACCCCGAGATCATGTCCTGAGCTGAAACCAAGAGTCAGCCTCTCAACCAACTGAGCCACCCAGGTGCTCCAGGTGAGTATTAGTACTGTCTGAATATTACAGATGAGAAAAGTAGGGTACTGAGAGGCTAAGTAACTTGTAACTAAGTGGCAGAACCAGATGTGAACCCAACCAGTCTAGCTCCAACATCTGGGCTGCTCTCTGCTACACTACTACTCTACACCCTAAAACTTTTCACTCTAAAACGTAGGGAAGATGACTATTTGAACACTTCCAGACCCTAGATCATTGACTCTCTTCATAATCCTAATAATCTTTGAGATTTTACATTAAAAACATTTAACTGGCAGATCCTTCTTTAATAAAATTAAACTGTCTGAAGAGAATTAACAGCAGCTATTACAGGCCTTAGCACCAGTTGGCAAGAATAATGAGGCCCCCTAACTGCTCACCCTAATGCAAAGCTCACCAGCTGACAGACCTTAGGTAGGTACAGAGATCCCAACCATTTTATATTGTTTCATTCTTCCATTTGTTTGGTTAAATCAGAATCAAACATCTGTATCATGAAAGAGACAAGGAAACACAAAGTTAAACAAATGTGACAAAGGAAGAAACAGAATTCATAAAACAAAATAGATCTTGTTAAAAGCTTCTAACTAAGATCCTCAGAAACAGTCAAGATTTTGCATACATAAAGCAAGACAGGATGCTGTGAAAAGGCAAAAAAGAATGAGAGAAGACTCTTGGAAATAAAAGATAAATTTAAAAAAGGCAATATAAGGTTTGAAGTTGTAAAGATGAAATTTAAAAAGTAGACAAAAACAGAGACAAAAAATTATCAAAGGAGACATAGCATCAGTCCAGGAGGTCAGCATGTGATTAATAAGAATTCCATAAAGAACAGGGAACAGTCAATGGTACTGTAATAGTGCTGTATGGAGACCAATGGTAACTGCACTCGTGAGGAGCACAGCATAACAGAGAGAGATGTTGCATCACTATGTTGTGCACTTGAAATAATGTAACATTGTGTGTCAACTATACTTCAAAAAAAAAATTAAAATTAAAAAAAGGATTCCAGAATGAAAAGAAAAAAAACTGGAGGAAGTTTCTGAATATAAATTTTCCACAAAAGATTAGTAAGTTAATATATTTATAGAAGTCTTCCAATTAATAGGGCCCCCTCAGTCCTCAAATAGAAGCCCAAATCAAGACATATCACTAGAGAATTTGAGACAAGGGATAAAAAAGATACTGCAAACTTTCAGAGAAAAGACAGCTCATCTACAAAGGAACAAGAATCAAACTGGCCTAAAACTTTTTAACAATAATGAAGGATACTAAGAGTTGAGCAATGCCTTTAAAATTCTGACAGAAAATTATGTTCAACCTAGACTTCTATTCCCAGCCACACTAACAATCCAGTTTAACAGAGAAAAATGTTTTCAGACAAGGAATTGCTCAAAATTTACCTCCCACACGTCTTACCTAGCAAAACAAGGCAATAAAACCAAGAAAGAGGAATATATGGGAAATAGGAGCATAATGAAAGCAAGTCACAAGATGTCAGGTGAGCAGAAATTCTAAACAAAGCACACAGAACAGAGCAGGAGGACAGAGGGTATCAAGGAAGGTAAGTATGAAAAAGAGAGATACTAGAAATTTGATACTATCTTAAAAAATGGAAAAATTAAGGAAGCTATAAAAGCAAATAATACCACCCCCAAAAGAATACAACTGAGAATTCTGATATGGGGAGCACA